TGATGCTTTCTCCTTTCCCGAACATCCCTCCCTGGATTTCTTGGCCACACACTTTCTTCCTATCTTACCGGACCTTCCGCCAGTGCCCCTGGCAGCCCCTTTCCTCTGCTCCAGCCTCAGGGCTGTGCGAGGCTCACCGACTTCTCCCCCCACCGTCTGCCTTGGCTCACCCTCCACTCCAGTGCAGAATCACCGTCTGCAGTGGTCTCTGAGATGGAGTCGCCAACAGCTCTTCACACTGGAAGGGAGTCTCTCTGCCAGTCACAACTCCTCCACTCCCCTTTCCAGCGATCAATATAGGCACAGACAGTCTGACCAACTGGACTTGCAGAAGCAGCTCTGGGCTCTTCTCACCACTTAGGGCTCTGACGAGAAGCCCACTGTGGACTGTGCAGTCTGGCTGTCCCATCAGCTGCAGTGAGAGGCTGAGCTCAGTCATGTGCCGCGTTAACAACGGCGTACTTTCTGAGAAACGCATCAGTTTGGAGAGTTTGTCGTATGGACACCATTGAGTGCGTTTACATAACTCTGGACAGTAGAGCCCACTGCACACCTGGGCTGGAGGGCGCACCTAGTACAGCTGTGCAGCCTGTGACTGCACTGCATACCGAGGCAGGTAGAACACCGTGATAAGGACGTGTGCATCTAAACACAGCCAGACGCAGAAGAGGTTCCGTAAGAATGCGGTGTTACACGGGACGGCCATCGAATGTGCTGTCTCTCGTGGATGGAAACGTCACGATGCAGCGTGTGACTGCACAAACATCAGGAAAACTGCAGGAGTTCATGAAGGAGGGGTAAATTGGGGCCAATAAGAGACAGAAAAGAGAGAGCTAGCAGATACATTTCTTTCCTTTTCCCCCAAAGGACTGTTCTGGCAAGCCATGATAGGTCTCCACAGCCTGTATGGAAGGTACCCTGTGTGACCAGCAACCAGATGTTACAGAGCAGCCATGGTCAGCTCGGTGAGGTGATCTTCACCATGCCTTTTCCTTCACTGCCTCACTCGGCTCTTTCTCTCACTCTTGGGGAACCGCACTCACTTGGCAAGTACGCTAAAGCACCTCCCATCGTAGACAAACACTATTCCGCTTTTGAAAATGATGACATACCCCTTCACATCCACTGAGATGGGTAGAATCAAAAGTCAGTGGCAATAAGCGTTGCTGAGGATGTGGAGAAACCAGAATCCCCATGCCCTGCTGATGGAGGTTGAGAATCATGCTGCTGCTCTGGAAAGAGTCCAGCAGTTCCTCAAATGATTAAACACAGAGCCACTGTGTGACCCAGCAATGGCACTCCTAGTAATAGTACCCAAGAAAAATGAAGAGATACATCCACATGGAATTTGTACACATTTATAGCAACATTATTCATAATAGCCAAACAGTGAAAACAACCCAAATGTCCATCAGCTGGTGAATGGATAAACAAAATGTGGTCTATCCATACAATGGAGTACTACTCAACCATCAAAAAGGATGAAGTGCTGACATATGCTATGACATCGATGAAACTGGAGAACATTATGTCATATTATGCAATTTCATTCATATAAAAGTCCAGAACAGGAAAGCCGCAGAGACAGGAATAGATCAGGGGATGCCGAAGGCTGGGGGTAAGGGAGCAGTAACTAAGGCATATGAAGGTCTTTTCTGGGGTGGTGAAGATGTTCTAAAGCGAACTGCAGTGATGTGCAACTCTGTGGATAGACTGAAAACCACTGAATTCGCAGTTTAAATGGGTGAATTGCACAACGCAGGAATTGGCGCTCACTAACGCTGTTAAACAATGGCGTAGTCCATATTGATTGCCTTTGAAAGATGTTCATGACCACTTAAGAACGGGATCCACTAATGTGAAGTCTGAACCTATTTTTGTTCTTTTAAATAGACACATGTATGCATAGGAAAAATATGTGGAAATGCACACCCCAAAACATTAACAGTGGTCATCTCTAGGTGGTAGGATTATAAATAATTTCTTTTTCTTTTCTTTTCTTTTTTTTTTTTTTGAGTTGGAGTCTCGCTCTGTCACCCAGGCTGGAGTGCAATGGTGCCATCGTAGCTCACTGCAACCTCCTCCTTCTGGGTTCAAGCGATTCTCCTGCCTCAGCCTCCGGAGTAGCTGGGATGACAGGCACACGCCACACATCCAGCTAATTTTTGTATTTTTAGTAAAGACCAGGTTTCGCCATATTGGCCAGGCTGGTCTTGAACTCCTAACCTCATGATCCACCCACCTTGGCCTTCCAAAGTGTTGGGATTACAGGTGTGAGCCACCTCACCCGGAAGATGATTTCTTTAAAATATATTTTTCCACAATGTTTTACAATGACCATGGGACACTTTTATATAAATATATATATATATATTTGGTAATCCACTTTACCTTGAGTATTTCTTACAAATGATTATTATTAGAATAAAAAATCAGCAAGAACAGACTAAAGGCAAGATTGCTCACCACGCGACACCTCCAAGTCCCCAGGCCCCCCACGAGCGCATGACTCTTCCACATCCAAAAGAGCTGCAGCACTCCTGCTGTCCCTTTCACCAGACCGTTTGGCACAGAGGCCACCACTGAGGGTTAGGGATTTGAGAAGGCAGGGCCAGGTGTTTAGCTCAACAACTGTCAACCTTTCTGGAGTAAGGCCACATCTGTGATGATGCCCTTATAGTGGGGCAATTAAGAACTAAACGGGGCCATCACAAGCACGTTTCCCTAAATGCTTAACTCAGAGTAGCTGACAGGGGCTGAAGAGAACGAACCCCATTACCTTCAACACACAACCCACAATTCACAGGGAAACGAAATCAGTAACAGCTTTGCTTGAGGATAAGCACATTTCAAACCCTGATAATCTTTGAATGTGGTTACTGACATGGAGGCTCTTCTTCAAGGGGGTAAACGCAAAGTCTCCCGCTATCTTTACCCCGGGCTGCATTCCCTCATGGGGCCAGACTCCATGGGCACCTGGGTAAACACACATTGGGAATGCAGTGACAATCTCTACCTAGGACTCAGAGGCCATGCTGATGGCCCTCGGCAGGTCCCCACGGGCATCCTTCCCACACGCCCACAGGACACCTTGGTGGGTGCGTCTGCAGCGGCCACACAGCCACAAGCTGCCTCTATGAGTCCAGGAGCTCCCATAGTTCATAAGGTCCCAGTACAGATGAGAGGAGCGGACAGAGTCAGAGAGGCTGGGTTGAAGTAACACTGGCTTATTAGGCAGACAAGAAAAGAAGATGAAGCCAATAGTCTTTAACAAACCAACTAGCTACAGGAATAGATAGCCCCTTTCCATTCTGGAGACAACACAGAAATCTATTAATATTAAACACTTGTTGTGAGGCAGGCACCTGCACACAGGGGTATAGCGTTGGAAATACCGGGGTAGTCTGCAGGGCCAGGCAGAATGGCAGGAAAAAAAAGCCAGAGAAATCCAAACACGTCTTGGACCCCAGAAGACAGACGTACTGATTTCCGTGATGTCAAGAGCCCAGCGTAGAGCAGCTGGACAGGTCGCTAAGAGCTTTCACTTCTGCTTACTGGGTCTCACACACCTGGATAAACCAGTCATTGAAAGCTGACCTGCTAAAGGGAGGCTTTCGGCACGTGCTGGTGTTTCCTAATTGAATGGGTGGCTCGCCTGCATCTCAGGGCCGGGGCTGCCATGCAGACGCGTCTGGGTGAGGTCAGCAGCTTCATTTAGTGTGCGGGACAGCTGACAGTACAGGCTTCTGAAGGGTGCCCTGTCCATGAGGCAGCACCCCACTGTACAGATGGTCACCCTTCAGCTCACCAGGCTCCTAGCGCGCGACAGTGGGCGCCTTATTTTTCTGATTACAGACAAGTCTTCTAGGTGACTGCGCTGATACACCTATCTGGGTGTGTGATCCTCCAGCACTTAGGCAAGGGGGAGTGCGAACAGTCACAACAGTGCAAACTGCCATGTTCCATGAAGTCAGACCTGCCTGGAGTCCTCGGGAACGTGTACAATGGTTAACGGGGCTCGAGAGGCGTCCGCTTGGAGGGTGAGAACGCGACTCTGCTGTGCAGAGGGACCGCCGAGGACCACACCCCCACTTCGGTGTCATCCTCAGGAAGTGCGATCGGATGCCCGCCAATGTCGCCCCCAAAGGGACTCAGAGCAGTCCCAGCTCAGGAAGACGTCTTTCGTTTAACCTTCTGGCTCAGAGCCACAGCCCCAGGCTGAGGATGCCACATCCACGGCGTGACTCAAGTTTCCGAGCCTGCAGGGTCCCCGGGCGGCGCGGCCGAGAGCACAGCTTCCCCCGCGGCCCCTGCGCATCCGCACGGGGCAGAGCCGCAGCCTTCCCGCCGCCAGCGCTCCACACGGCCCGGATTTGGGCTCGGAGCCGGCACGGGCCCGCCCTCAGTCGGCGACCCGAGGGGCGACCACGACGGAGGCGGGGCCCTTCTGACACGTGGCCGCGATTTTATCTGCTCCTGGGGGGCGCGGGTGGTTTGCTCTCCAGGCTGAGCAAAGCCCACGAGGGGCCGAGGAGAGCCCCCGCCGCCGCGAGCCCGCCCTGGAGCCGCGCAGGGGCCGGCGCCGCCCGGGATGCCCGCGCGCGGGAGACCCGCCGCCGCCAGGCGCGGCCCGGAACACCCGGCGAGGGGGGCGGGGAGCGGGGAGCCGCGGCGCCGGCCCGAAGCCCCGCCCCCGCCCGGCCGGACCGCCCCGCCCACGCCCCCGCTCCCCGGCAGCCCCGCCGCCGCCGGCTCGTCCCGCTCGGGCCCGCGTGCCCCGCGGCCGCCGCGCGCCCCACCGGCACAGCCGAGCCTCCCGCCCGAGCGCGCGCGGGCCGGCGGTGGCGTGTGGGCACGTCATATGGGCCGCCCGCCTCCCATTGGCTGCGGCCGCCTCACCAGACCGCGTGTGGACGGGCGCGCGGGCGGGGCGGGGCGAGCTCTGGCCACGCCCCTGGGCGGCGCGCGCGGGCGGCGGGTAGGCCGGGCGGCGTCACGTGACGCGGGCTCCGGGTCCCGCCATATAAGCCCGCGCGCCCCGCCAGGCGCCGCGGCCGCAGTTGGGGCCGTCCCGGGCCGCGACTCCTCCTTCCCCGCTGCCCCGCCTCCGCTCGGAGCGCCGCGGGCGGGCGCCCCTCAGCCAGGTACGCGGCGGGCCGGGGCGGGGGTCGCGGGCGGGGTTTGGCCTCGCCGCAGCCGGTCCTCCCCGGAGGTGGGCGCCCGCGGGCCGGGGGCGCCGCTCGCCGTGAGCGCGGGGCCCGTCCGCAGCCGGCCCTGGGCGGGCGCGCGGGTGCCTGACCCCGGGTGCCGGGGTCCGCGGCCGGCGGGGCCTTCCGAGTGAACTTGATGACCCCCTTCTTCCAGGAAGCGCCTCTCGGACGCGGGTGACCGATGCCCAGGCTGCACGACCACTTCTGGAGCTGCTCCTGTGCGCACGGCGGGAGGCGCCGAGGCCCCCCGCGAGCCAGCGCCGCGGGGCTGGCGGCCAGAGTGGGGGAGATGATCAACGCCTCCGTGTCCGGGCCCTCCCGGCTGGCGGCCCGCGGTGCCTCGGACGCCGACCCCGCGCCCGGGGCCCGCGGCGCTGCGCTGAGCGGACCCGAGCCCGGAGGCCCCCGCCCCAACACCTGGCATCATCGCCTGGTGCAGAGGAGCCTCGTGCTCTTCTCGGTCGGGGTGGTCCTAGCCCTGGTGCTCAACCTGCTGCAGATCCAGAGGAATGTCACCCTCTTCCCCGAGGAGGTGATCGCCACCATCTTCTCCTCCGCCTGGTGGGTCCCTCCCTGCTGCGGGACGGCAGCTGGTGAGTACCCCTCCTGGTTCTGCTGCAGGTAAAAAGGCTGTCTTTTCAGCCTGTAGGAAACCTGTATTGGAAACTGGAACTACCCACAGATCGAAAGTGTGCATATCCAGCCCTGGATTTAGAGAAAGGAAGGAGAGGGGGAGAGGACAGCACCCCGAGGGCGGGTTCGGGCCACCACTGTCTGAAGTTTGAGGAGGCACAGGGATGGAGATGAGGCGGGGAGATAATGGGCTGTTCCAGCAGATGCTGTGCCAAGCCGACTGCGGGCCCTTCCCTCCTGGTGTCCGGGTACAGCCCCAGCTGTCATCCCGCGCCAGCCGCCCCGGATTGGCCGCCTGGGGAACTGGTGAGCAGCGGGACTGAATGGCCATTGGTCGCGGCAGCAAACATGCTACCCGGCTGCATAACTGAAAACAAACCCGTCACATGTGTTCAGGAGGCGGTTGCCAGGGGAGCAACTTCTCAGCACTTCCTTTTGCCCGGTCGCTGAGTAAACTGTGGTCTGAAGCAAACTGTTTACCCCCTGAACTGTTAGAGCTCTGAGATTACATTCTTAAGGAGAAGAGTAACCCCTTTAGGGCGTTTAGATTTTCATACACCCGAGCGGTAGCATAGATGCTGTACAACGCAACACAAGGTCAGTCTGAACTGCGTACCGGGGACCGGGGATGCTGGCTATCTTTAGCAGAATTTCTTGGCTGTCATTGAACCGCTTTAACAGCAGTATTGAGTTGATCTTGGCCCAGCAGGTCACTTACTGCTTCTGTAGTCACACAGCATTTGATTATTTAACAAACTTTTGTCGGCTGCTTTCTGCAGCCTCAAAAACTCTACAAGCTGTTGAAATAGTAATACAAAAGTGAGCACCGCAGGCCCCTGTCCTTAAGCCGCTTAGAGTCTGGTAGGGAAAACAAACGAGTGCGTAAGTGACCACAGTGCAGGGAGCATCCTGCTGGCTTTGTAGCTGACACATGTCAGCTGACTGTTGACCAGAGGCTTCCTGCGCTTTGCTGTGTTCTTTCCTTACAGCAGTGCGCTGTGGAGCTTCATTTATAGATGTGGAAACTGAGTCACAGGTTAAGTCCCATCCAAGGATGCACAGGTAGGAAGTGGCCCAGCCATTGTTGCCAGCTGTTCATGCTGCCTCAGCAGGCGTGTCTCCTGCGCTGTGGAAACACATTGCCTCAGTTGACCCACTGGAGACAGCGAGCAGCGAAGAGTTTTGTAAGAGAGGGCTGTGTGTTCCAGAACTAGGACGTGCGTCTGTGGTCATTAAGTAGTGGGTAGAATGTTTTTGTCTTTGTTCTCAGAGAGATGGGACCCACTTTTGTTTTCTGAAACACTCGTATGTGGCTGTGCTGATTGAACATTTTTTGAGAAGTATATCTAGATCTAAAATTCTGTGTTTCATATACATTTGGCAGAATCGTTTCTTTCCTTGAACCAAAAACTTGATCTTAGAAATGAAATAGTTTGCAACTGAAGCCTCAGGGATTTCTAGGAATATCTGGACAATTTCTCATACTCGATTTTCTTTTTTAAACTATCAGCCAAGAGCATAAGTAAAATATTTCATAGTATATATATATATTTTACCTATTTAGTTTTTAACCTTAAAAGGTAAGATTAAGCTATAGTGAGTGAAGTAAAATTAATTTGGGAGGGGTTTGTTTTTCAAAACTCTGAAATTAGAACATAATTAAGTATAATAACTTGAAAACTGAACATTTTTTATCTGGATGTTTGACTAAACTGTGTTTCTTGTTTCTCAGTTGAATCTGCAATGTGTATTTCTCACACTAGACTCGGGGGGAAACAATGGCAGGGCTCTTGGTCCTTGGCTACGGCTTCCAGCGACCCTTGTGTCCCCGAATCCAGCCCCAGCAGGCCGGCATCCCCACCCCCCACCACAGACATTCATTCCCACCTTCATCATTGCCATATGCCTTCTCTCTGGAATCCCATTCCTTCCCACCTGTCCGCATTCCAAGTTCATGTCTATGAAGAACTTCCTAACTGTTCCAGACCGCAGTGATCTCTTCTCTGTGTCCCAGTTACGTAACCCTCATAATTTTACACATGAGAACACAAACACGCAGGGCCATGTCCCATCAGAGGGCAGGTCGGGCTTAGAGGCCGACTTTTCTCTTCTTGGTCTGGTGCTCTTTCCGCAGCGTGGGGCTTGACTGGGCAGGAATCAGATAGAGAGGAGAGAAGCCCGTGTGGGGCTATCTCTCTCCATCCTTGCCCACGAGCGTGTACGCACAGTAGGTGCTCAGTGTCTTGTACAGTACATGCTAGAACCCCGAAAATCGACTCCAGGGCCACTCTAGGGGCATGTGACCCAGACCGTCAAAGTTGCATCAGCAAATGCGTATCTCATCACATGCCCAGTCCCAGTGTGGGGTGGTGGCAGGAGTGTCAGCTGTGCTGTGCAGGGAGTGGACAGATGCCAGCCTTTTCATTGTAACGTAGAAATCACACTGCATGAAAAGACATAGTGAACTACATGGTCATTTAAGTTCTGTGTGCTTTAGGCAAATGTGGCTATTAAATATAAGGTTACATATTGCTCATATTCATATGAATAGCCTCTGCTTGATTCATTTCTTTGTTTGCTAAGAGATATTCAGCTACACTAAATAATAGTGATTTTAAAAAACTTTTCAAAACAGTACAGTTTCGTGGGGGTGGTACTCAGAGAACAGGAATATAAAGTCAATCTTAGTCATGAAGTTGTAGCTGATAGTATTTTCTGGGAGAAGGACTGGTTTGAGTGATGTGCTGTGTTACTAATGAGCACGTTGAAATTCTGGAACTTAAGCCTGCTGTGTTCTAACTGTCATCTTTTTTTAAACAGCTGTTGTTGGCCTACTGTACCCCTGTATCGACAGTCACCTTGGAGAACCCCACAAGTTTAAGAGAGAATGGGCCAGTGTCATGCGCTGCATAGCTGTTTTTGTTGGCATTAACCACGCCAGTGCTGTATCCTTCAGTTTCTGTGCTGTCTAGAGTATCTTTTTAGGTTATATATTGAAGCGTTTGTTTTGTCATTTTTAATGAGTATTTCATATTCATACAGTATATTCAAATGACCCCATGTCATAATGCAACCATGACGGTGGCACCTGCCCATTTCAGATTACTAAAAAGAGAAAGAAGAACGGGGGCTATAGATGACTTCGTCGTTAAATATTTTGTTTTATGGTCAAAATGATGACAGAATTTTATATATAGCTTTCAGCAAGTTCATTCTTACGGTTAAGTTTGTGACTCAGTGATGCCAGGGAGATTTCAGGTGATCTTAATGATTACTATAACCTCTTATCCAACAAATCCTTTCTTTAGCTCACTACACGGTTTTTATGGGCAGTTAATTATTTGTGATACAATAATTTTTTTTAAAACCATGTTTTTAACCCTTGTGTGTGTGTGTGTGTGTGTGTGTGTGTGTGTGTAAGTGTTTTTGATCTTACCAAGAATCATTGAACTTTTCCTTAACTTTTGCATCACCAGAAATTGGATTTTGCCAATAATGTCCAGCTGTCCTTGACTTTAGCAGCTCTGTCTTTGGGTCTTTGGTGGACGTTTGATCGTTCCAGAAGTGGCCTTGGGCTTGGGATCACTATAGCTTTTCTAGCTACTCTGATCACTCAGTTTCTCGTGTATAATGGTGTCTATCAGTAAGTGTGTTTTTTCAAATATTGTCTTTGGAAAACACTTAACTTTCATAAAAACATCCATAAAGCTTAGATATTTTTATATTTTATTTGGTTTTTATATGGAATGATATAGAGTTAGGCATGAAATTCTCAAAAATGCTTCTCTTCATAACTTAATGCAAAGGAAAACCAAGTAGTAGCAGTTACAACAATCCATTCGAATATTAACATTGGTAACATGTCGTTGCTGATACATTCTGCATATCCCCATTACAGAGGACCTTTGATGCAGAATTGAGCCAGGTGAAATGGACTGCTAAGGCACAGTTTCTTCTCTTGCTCCAGGTACACGTCCCCAGACTTCCTCTATATTCGTTCCTGGCTCCCCTGTATATTTTTCTCAGGCGGCGTCACAGTGGGCAACATAGGACGACAGTTAGCTATGGTAAGTGAAACGATCATATCATCTTCTCAAACTTCCGGCTTTTTACCTTGATAGAATTATTTGACATGATACATTCAAATCTGTGTTTATATATTCTAGTTCAGATTCAAGTGACAATAACTGAGGAAAGCGTGTATTTAAAAACATAGGTAATGATACCCAGGTAAAGGTTCATAGATACGTAAACTCATCCTATTTTATCTAGAGAGGAACCAGAGCTCTCGCACTGCCCCTTTGAACTGCAGGTGTGTTCACTGTTCTGAATTTTCGTAACTTCTGTAGTAAGCAGTACAGAAAGTGACTGGTGGCTCCAGTGAATGGCGTATGAGTGTCCCCTCCTCCGTCACCATCGGAAGCAGATCTGGATGTCCTCATGCAGTGACACTTTGCTCCCTAAGCACCTGTCCCCAAATGTTTCTTTTCATAAAATCAGAGTGGATGCAGATGGTGCTGACCTCTTAGTCCACAGCCAAGCAAATGGAGCTGAGGCTTCAGACTCTTTCTCAGGCCAGGGCAGGGCCTGGTTCAGGCAGGCAGCACCCTTCTGTGGGGCAGGTGGCCCTGGGCATGGAGAAGCGGTGACGAGAACACTGCTGCACGTGGCTGGGTCACCACGTAGACGGACGTCCTGCCTGCGCCTTGCACCTGTGCTTGCTGCAGGAGAAAGCAGCCCTGCCCTGAAAAGCTGCTCTCACAGCCCCGCTGAGGGAGCTGGAAAGGCAGATGAACTCCAGGATGGCGTCAGCAGTTTTCGTTAGTTAAAAATTGGCATCTGAGCACTTTAATCTAAAAAAAATAGAGGTGGACTTTTATATGTTATTTTGAGTTGACTTTGGCAGGCTGAAATAAAGTGAATTAAAAAAAAAAAATCTAGAGCTCTTGCTCTTGGAGATAAGCTCTGGGACTGTCTCGGAAAACTTCCCTTGGTACCTCATGCTATTTTTAAAACGGCACATTTATTTTTCCCAGCTGATACCCTTCTGTGAGGAGTTGAAATTGAAGGCCACTTGGCTGTTTCACAAAAGCAGAAGTAATTGCAAGTGGAATTTGTGGCATTCCACTGGTTACTGAGTCTCTACTGCCAGATTTCTCATGATGGAGAAGAAATGACTCTGCTTGTCCTTTTTTTTGAGACAGAGCTCACTGCGTCACCCAGACTGGTACCATCACAGCTCACTGTAACCTTGAACTCCTGGGCTCAAGCAGTCCTCCCGTCTCAGCCTTCTGAGTAGCTGGAATTACAGGCATATGCCACCATGCCTGGCTAATTTTTTTATTTTTTGTAGAGATGGTATCTCCCTGTGTTGTCCAGGCTGGGCCTGAACTCGAGGGCTCTGGTGATCCTCCCACCTTGGCCGCCTAAAGCAGTGGGATTATAGGTGTGAGCCTGGCCTTGCTTTTTTCAATATTAAAAATCTGGTTGGATGGTCCCACATGAAAATAGCGCATTGCTCCTGCGGATTCACCTTCATCACTGTTAAGTCTTCAGAGGAGAGCTAGGCAAGTCCATCACTGCTTTCTTACTTTCAGTTTTTGTTTCAGTACTCTTTGGGAGAGAATTCCTAAGGTTTTTTAGAATAAAACTGCCCTCAACCAGATTGACTATTTATACATTATAATTAAAACTTGAATGACATTTAAAGAGTTGGTTATTTCTGTACAGTAGATTGATGCTGTTATATGTCAAGGCTTTTTAAATTAGTTTTAAGAAACAAGCATTATTTTGGTGGAGGAAGAAATTTCACAACATTCATAAGTTCTAAACATCTAGAAATAGTTGGAGGAGACATTTTCAGTTTTGAAGATAGTTTCATTAAGTAATTCCTGCTGTGCTCCTTGGATCCTTACAGAAAAAAATGTTAGGTAACTCAAAATAGGATAGTGGTATAGTTATAATGCTCCCAACTTCAGATTTCTTTTATCCTTTTTATTCTTTAAACTTAGGGGGAAATGTTTGGTTGTTCTTGCTGTTTCTTAAAACCTGCAGGAGAGAGGTCGCCACCCTGATCTCCTTCGCTCCTGGGCAGGCACATGAAACTGAACTCTCAGGGCTCTAAGCCCAACCCCGCCTCCTGCTGTTTTTATTCATAAAAAACTTACCCTTACCTCTGGATCCCAACTATTCTTCTTTTTTCTCTTCAACATTAGAAAACTAATTTCCATCCATCAAACCCAGGGCGTGGCTCAGGGTCTTCACACTGCGGCCCTCTCCCTGGCGCTGCGTCCCTTCCCAGGACGTGACTCAGGGTCTTCACACTGCGGCCCTCTCCCTGGCGCTGCGTCCCTTCCCAGGACGTGGCTCAGGGTCTTCACACTGCGGCCCTCTCCCTGGCGCTGCGTCCCTTCCCAGGACGTGACTCAGGGTCTTCACACTGCGGCCCTCTCCCTGGCGCTGCGTCCCTTCCCAGGACGTGGCTCAGGGTCTTCACACTGCGGCCCTCTCCCTGGCGCTGCGTCCTTTCCTTAGGCTGTGCCCCTTGACATTCGCATTCATGGTGAGTATTTTCCCCCAGGGCAGCCTTCCCCACATTCCACTGTTACCCACAAAATGGAAGTGGCTGGATATTCTAGGGACCGTATCTAAGAGCTACTGGTTTAAGATCAAAACCTACACTAGGTCAGGCTTTGTGAAGGGAGATTTCGAGAGTGAAGTTGATGGCAGTCTGCAGGTGAGATTCAGAGGCTCAGTTCAGCACTGCGGCCAGCCTCGCCCAGATCCTCGCCCAGATCCAGTGTAACTGCAGGGTCTGTGTTTGGTGCTGATGGTTTTGCTCAGTGCACTTGACATCCTCTCATTCTTAGCTGTCTCAGTTCTCCAAAATGCCTTTGTTCTAACTTATGTTCCCTCCCTTAAAAAGAAACAGTTACTTGCAAGAATAACCATGCTCAAAAGTTACAAGTTGGCTTTGCTTAAAGTTCTATGGTTTCCTAGCTCTTTCTATGTGGTACTTCTCCCCCACATGCCATTGTCCTTTGTGTCCGAAAATACAGCAGAAACGTTTGTTATCAGCCCATATTTTTGTTGTTGTTGTTGTTTTGTTTTTTGTTTGTTTTTGAGACGAAATCTCGTCCTGTCCCAGGCTGGAGTGCAGTGGTGTGGTCTTGGCTCACTACAACCTTCACCTCCCAGGTTCAAGCAGTTTTCCTGCCTCAGCCTCCCGAGTAGCTGGGACTACAGGCACATGCCGCCACGCCTGGCTAATTTGTGTGTGTGTATGTATATTTTTAGTAGAGCTGGGGTTTCACTGTGTTAGCCAGATGGTCTCGGTCATCTGACCTCGTGATCCACCCACCTCAGTGGTTTCTGTTTGTTTTTGAGACAGAGTCTTGCCCTGTCACCCAGGCCGAAATGTAGTAGAACAATCTTGGCTCACTGCAACCTCTGCCTCCTGGGTTCAAGTGATTATCCTGCCTCAGCCTCCCGAGTAGCTGCGATTACAGGCACCCACCACCATGCCCAGCTAATTTTGTGTTTTTAGTAGAGATGGGGCTTTGCCATGTTGGCCAGGCTGGTCTTGAACTCCTGACTTCAGGTGATCTGCCCATCTCGGCCTCCCAAAGTGCTGGGATCACAGGCGTGAGCCACCTCACCCGGCCCAGCCTGTATGTTTAAAATAAAATAATGAGTCTGTAGCCATCAATTACGGAACTTGCAGTTGTTGCTGTTTGTAGCTTCAAGTCTTAAGAGTAGGCTTCCACTCTCGGCCCCACTGGGACACCTGGAAGTAGAGTCCCGCCCACCTGAGTGTTAGCTTGGGATTTAATTTGCTGTTCTGTGTTAGATTGGCCTGACTCAGCTGCTCATGATAATGATACTGTTACTGTTACTGAGGGCTTCCATTGATGGGCTGTTACTGCTGCACAGGAGGCACTGTGCTAAACATTTCCACCATTGGCCAGGGTAGTCCTCATAACACAACTCTTTGAAGTAGAAACTATCATTAGCCCGTTTTTAAATGGGGAAATTGCAGCTTAGGAAGATTAAACAACTTGGCCAGGTGGGTGGTGGAGGTGAACCTGGCAGCCTGCTTCTCATGAGTATACCACACTGCCCTTTCAACACATGGCTAGCACCTGCCTTCAGCTGCATGTAGGCTCACAGCAGCCTGCGTTGGCGTCTGGGTTGCCATTGAAAATATGTCCCTGTTAGGCAGTGCTGCTGGAAGTCCCCATGCCGCCCTTCAGGTCCCCCTGGGCTGGGTGCCATTCCCCTCTGGCGTCTGTGTGTTCTTAGCTAAGGCCAGGCCTCACTGGCCTCCGTAGACCGTGGATTCTAAAAGTCTAGTCCCCGTTTGTTTGTCTGCACATTTGTGAACAGGTAGTAAAACACCGTGACCGATTTTATTTCCAAGTTGCTGGCAAGAGTTTGCTCTTTTGTCTTCTCGTTGAAGTTTGTATAGAACCCTTCCAGTGTTCATATTTAACTATTGGCAGTGCTTTCACGCGCCAGTTCCTGGAAGCATATGTGTTTGCTACAAGGTCTTACTGTGTGTCCAGGGTAGTCACTGGCATACCAAAGCCCCTGGGTGACTTGACCCAGACTCGTGACTTTACCTGTCTGTTCAGATGAGAGGATCTCAGGGTTTTCTGGATGAGTAATCTCCTTTGTTGCTGAAGGTGATGAGCTCAGCTCCCTTTAAAGTGAACAGAGGACAATTAAGTAACAGGGGAAGGCACGATTCTGAGGGGAAAAAATGTGTACAGAGGTTTCTCCTTGCCCTCTAGCAGCAGCTCTGCGGCCTCAGGAAGGTCACATAATCTCTTTGGGTCTGCTGCTTTATCAGTGAGACACTGTGGTCTATTGAGAATCTGCCCTGCAGTGCCTGATCATAGTAGTAACTGTAGTGGCTACCTCTCAGAAGCTCTGCGAGGGTCAAAGGAGAAAGAACATGTAGAAAGGATTCCCAAACTGCGAAGCTCTGTGTGAACCGAGGGCAGAGTTACAGTTATTCAGTATTACAAAGCGTGACCTACTTCCAACATGTTTCAACAAACTGCTGCTAAGGTGGGTTATAACACAGGCCTCAGATACTAATAAAGGTCTGTGGCAGAAACCTCCCTTCAGATAAAGGCTCACTCCCTTAAATGCAATTGGAACTTTCAGGAACACCTGTCATACCATAAGCATCGCCATGCTTTGATAAAATTGGGTGTTTCCTTTCTATAGATATTAATTTAATCATGATTTCACCAATAACTTACACTTATCATAGGCTTTGTGTAGGGCCTAAGCAGTGTGATTTCAGTTCAGGCAGAGAATTCTCGTAACTTTGCAGGTGATGGCGCGGGAGCCGGGAGGGCTGCCAGAGCGGCCTTGGGCTCGAGGTCTCTCCTCATTTCCACGTCTCAATCCTGTTTCTTCCATCGAAGAAATTTTTAATCTTTCCCATGTTCAACCTACTTAATTGATAATTAAAATATTTATACATTTAGTGCTAACTTTCTCTTTTTTTTCTCTTTCTACACATAGGGTGTTCCTGAAAAGCCCCATAGTGATTGAGTCTTCAAAACCACCGATTCGGAGAGCGAGGAAGATTTTGGAAGAAAATCTGATTGTGAATTATGACAAAGATTATCTTTTTTCTTAATCTACTTAAATGGGGCTGACTGTACAAATGACTCCTGGAAAACAGTGTTCCCCTAGCCTGGAATAGGGAAGTGGAGAGATGACGACGCAGCCTGGGGTCCTGCCGTGCCTGGCCGCACTGGCGCCTGTCGGCCCCGGAGCGTTCTGCCTGGGCTGCGTGGCTCGGCAGGTGGCAGTTTCCCGAGTATTAGATTTCATTCATGTGATTCAGACAAGTTGCCATGTTTCAAAGCCTTGAACGAAGACTCACTCACCAACTCTCAGTTTTGTGTCAGTGCCCAGAGGAGGTAGGCTGATGGTGCTCAACAAACATGAAGTATGGTGTAATAGGAATCATATTTATCCAAAAGATTCTTAAAAATAGGGTTGTGTTTTAAAAAGAAGAAAAGCAGCAGCAGTGATAATGGAGAGGCGTGCTCTGAGTGGGGTCGCGGTGTGGCCACACCTCACAGTCACGCACGTTCATCCTGCAGTGGCGTGTTTTCACTCACACGTGCGTGTATCGGCAGTGAGTCGGCTGCGCTTTCCATGCCACCGTGGAAGTTTGTGTAGACAATCTTGCTGAGCAAAAGGCAGTGAAAAGTCATGGTTCCACACAGCGATATATTGGAATTTTCACCTCAGTTTATGAAGTTTATTTCGAAATCTATGATCATCTAAGAGTGAATACCTGTCCGCCATGTATTTCAATCTTAGTGAGCCAAATTTTTTAGTTGTTACTACAGAATAGAGGTGACTGGTCTTTTTCCACAGCCCTATGGAATTTGCAATCTGTGATTGCCTTGTAAAAAGGAGAGTGCGTATGTCACCGCATTGAACATGTGGTGTTCCTAAATATTCCATGATATTGGTGAGCACAATGTATTCATGAATGGCATAGACCATACCAGACCTAATTTGCAAGTATTGGGTCTTAAACTTCAAGTGCAATGTATATGAAAACCAATCTGAGCCTTGTATCTCTTAAATATTTATTTTTTTTAACGTAGAGATGTCGAGAGAAGGGTTCTCCATTTCAGTGCTGCATGGAGGAAACTGATTTCTTTCAGTTGTGAAGTTCCTTTCGTGTTACACCTTCCACGAACCCTCGACCTTTGAAATACTCCAGTTTTGTGGGTTTAGTAATTTTTACTTACAAATTTACCTTTTTGTATTTTGCGATTTACATGTGTTTGGGTTGTTTTAAATTCTGTGAAAGGGGCTTGATTAAAAGACTCCTTTTAAATGGTAGCCCCCAGTCAGCAGAATGGAAGCTTAGAGGAGCCCTCCTGTGAGCACTGGTCTTTGTGTTTGGTTTTGTGTATGTGATGATCTTTGCTGGGGTTTTTTTTTCTTGCTTTGTTTCAAGGGAAACGTCTTGGAGTAAATTTTAAGTTCCTGAAGCTAATTTGTTTTAGAGGAGGATTGTTTAAAAACCAGGACCATTCGGAACTTTGGAATGATCCCTTACAAATTTTCTGAACGTGAAAACAATTATTTCCGTGAAAAAAATTTACAATGAAGATGTTGGCGTTTATGAATAAACCAGAAGTTATTAGATGAAAGCAGTGAGTGAATCTTTACAACAGACTTGATCATGTACAAACAGTAAGTCTTTCCTAAACTGGAAGTCAATCTGTATCTGTTAGAAATAATGTAGCCCAAAAAATGTAAATCTGAAGATTTTTTTTGCCAGTAGTTTATAGCAAATCTATGAACCAAAGTGATTTGAGCTTGTAAAAATGTAAAATAGTATGAACAGAATTTGCACTATACCAGATTTGAACATCTAGTGAGATGCACATTCATACTAAGTTTTCAACATTGTGTTCTTTTTGCATTCGTTTTTTACTTTTATTAAAGGTTCAAAACCAAGTGTTGTATTTATGTTTGTTTGCTTTTTAAAAAAAAAAAAAAAAAAGGTGGGATGGTATTCTCTGTGCAGGACGTTAGAATCTGTAATGGAAAAATATTTTACCGTTCTTCAAATTTTACTGAATTTTAACACAACCTCTTGGGAAGTGTCATTTGAATCATCCCTCAGTACCTGCAGGGGATTGGTTCCAGGATGCCCCATGTATACCAGAATCTGCATACTCAAGTCTGGCATTTGGCCCTACAGAACCTGCATACCCAAAAAGTCAGCCCTCCGTATAGATGGGTTTCACATTCAGCAGATAAACCATGTTTGGTTGGAAAAACTCCGAGTGTAAGTGGACCCGGGTTTAAAGCCTGTGTTGCTTAAGGATCGACAGCATGCGTTTTCCTTATGGCGCAAAGTTAAATGCAGCGCAGGCTAAATGGAACCTGCCAACGTACCCTCCTCACCACAGGCACCCCATCTTCAAGCAGGAGGAGGAACAGGCTTGCCTGCCTCATCACGGCTGCAGCTCCCCTGCTGCCACCTGGTGTGGCTGGAGTTATTTGCTCTCACAGGCCATCACCATGGGATGAGAACTGAAGATCTGTGTTCAGCACCCAGAACATTAAAGCTGTGCAGGCTCAACATGACTTGGAGTTGTGAAATCGCATTTCTACCAGCAGAGAAAGGCCTTATCTGATACGTCCCAATACATTTTATAATACAGATCCAAAACAATAGGTTTTTACTACATTTAAAACATAAAAGATGCGTGTATGGAAAAACTGGTAGAGCTTATGATGAAAACATTTCCCTCATTACAGAGATTTGATATTTGCCTGAGATTAACCGAGTTCATGGGGCTCTAGTGTAGGAATACCTACTGAACTAGTCGAAATTCATGTTTTACAGTAAGTTTTGGAAGTTAAACCTTTCCTGGAATTTTCCTGGTCTATTGAGCAAGTGATAAGAATTATACCATTTCATTAAGGGTAAGGTGTGTCATTTACAAAAGATTTCTTTGTTCACTTCTTTTCAACTGAATGAGCAAGGCTGAGTAAATAGGAACTCAAGATAGATTCAAGGATGCTTTGTTGAGTTAGTTTTAAAAGCCACCTGTGACCTTGACATAAGGAACATTTCTGGCAGATTTGTTTAATTGAATTAGATCTAATCATTTGGTGACCTGGCATTCTCCCCACCCTTGAAATAGACATTTCCTTTATTCTGGTGGTAAAAAGAAATGAGAGAAGGAAACGATTCTAAATCTAAACTTGCCTTTTCTACTTTACCTGTTAAAACAGACCTTTTTACTAAGAATGTTCACTTTCTGAGAGTTTCAGATTATCTCTTTGTAATAATGTAACTTTAGCATATAAGCCCTTGTAGGAATATTCTCTTTGAAGAGTATTAATGTTATAAATGTTAATAAAGAGATTAAAATTCGGCCTTAACACGTTACTATGCAATAAGAAGCTGGTCTAGTCCTCGCTAATCTACCACTTTGCTTACTCTTAGAGTGAGGTGAGCTTGTAAGCAATAAATTAGCCACAGGAGGGATTTCATACTGATCCGTAAATGTAGTCAAAATTTGCAAAGAAAGGTAAGAAAAAGGTGCATGAAATAAACCAATTCCTAGTACCCAAACATGGGGCCCAGTGGACTTTATAAATCTTGGTAAGATTCACACCTGACCAATCGCTTCCCTGAGCACTTACAAAAACACCTAACAGTGCCTGGTACGAGGTAAGCTCTCCATATGCTCCTTTCCCTTCTTTCCCTGGTTTTCTCAGGGAAGAATAAATGTGCTGAGATCGTGCCCTAGGTATACTACTGCCAGTCTAGGTTTGTAACTTCCAAGACCAAAGAAGGGTCACATAACATGAAAGGCGTTATTTTCTTCTATTTCCGCGTTTTCAGCACTTCATTTTTCTGAGTGTTTGACACCCCTTCTCCTCAATGTTCTCCACATTCCCAAGTTCAGGAACAGAAGGAAGACGGAAGATGAGGTCAAAAGCACTGGGTCCACCGACGTCATTTCCTCCTCGGAACCTAGCTCTTCGTGTTTTTTTCTGTGTCTTCTCTCAGGCAGGTTTTTCATTAAAATCATGGGTGTCTTCCTGTTCATCCTCAGACCTCACTGAAGGGTCACCCCCGGCTGTTCTCTTCGCATCAAACCTCCCGGAGTTCCTCCAGGCTCAGAGCACTTGTTCTTGGCGGCCACTGGAGTCCTCCTGAGTCGGGGCTGTCAGGCTGCTTTCCTCCCGCAGGCCAGATCCCTGGGAGGGCGGAGCCACCTCCTCGCTTGTCCTGTCCTGGTGCCTCGCCGTGGCCTGGATCCTGCTTCACAACACGTGCATGCATGCTGCAAGGTGGCGACGAGATGACTTCCCCCACTTGGTCATCAACCATCCAGCAAATGTTCCTGGGTGCCTGTCATGACAGAGGCAGGCACACGGGCTGTCCACGGTCCCATCGTGTTGCCAACAGCCCTCGAGTCCCCTTCCGATTTGTGATCTCCAATCTGCAGGGGAAGAGATAAATAAAGCTGTTAGAGTCAATCATACAAGTAAAATCTGAGTCAAGATCCAGGGAGGATTCCTCCGAGTGGAGTGGATGAGTTTCGGTGGCAGGCTTTAACACTGACGTGAGCTCTTACAGGATTCGGGATTCTTTTTCCCAGGAATGGCGTTGGAAGACTGCTGACCCATCCACAGCCTCCTGCCCTGTGGCCCTGGTGCCCAGCATCCACCAGCAGGTGGCCAGTGTGACGCCCACAGGCCCAGGAGGTAGCGCCCGCAGGCAGCCGCCGTGCAAAGCCCATGAGCGCCCTCACAGCCTTCGCCCAGTCTCACCTGCCAGCCAGCCCTTCCTGGGTACAAGCTGATTCCCCAAGAATTCCATCTTTGCAAGGAGGAAGGCTGCTTGCTTTGACCTGTGATATCTGTCCCTGCCCTTCAAATTTGTTCTGATTTGCCATTAAGTGCTTTCAAACCCAGCCCGATTTTCTGTCATACCCAGGGGCCTACGGACCCAGGCCAAGACGCATGTTTGGCATCCCCTTTTCTCCTCATTCCACGTCAAACACATTAGTTGCAAAGACCCAGCTAGGGCAGGGTGAGTGTGAGCAGATCACTGCAAGAGAAAGATCGAGGGCCAGGAGGGCAGCAGTGTTACGGACCCTCACCAGCCTTGCTCCTAAAGAGCCGCTTCCTACCGCCTGTTCCCTGTCCCTGCCAGCCCAGGAGTGGTAGGCGAGCCTCTCCACAAGCCCGACTTGCTGGGCCAGTTCTGGGCTTCCTGCCCTCCTCTCATCACACATCACTCTTCATGTCTTCCTCAAACACCCAGGCAACTGTAGGAGCCGCCTGAAGAAAGGTCAGCACACCAACAGATCACGTGGAAGACCGTTTCAGAGTTTCACGCATCCATCAGGAGGGAGAGTCTGCACCTTATTAATCTTGCCAGGACTGGAAATAAATCATAAGTCCTTTTATTAAGGTGGGCACATGGCAAAGCCCTTTCCTAGGTCTCTCTTGAATGAAATGGTTGCATTTCCTAAGTTCTGCATACAGGTATTTGCAATTATTTGATTGTTCTTCGAAACCATGGGGAAAATGCTCTTAAACACCTACTGTGTGCCAGAAATCACGCTATGCATTGGGACCCTGGCGATGTGCAAAGCAGATTCCTACCCAAACGGGAGCTTCAGAAATCTACCCGTTCACCAGACATCCAGCTCACACTTCTGGAGACGTAATATGCCTTCGGGACACTGTTTCATCTTAGTAACCCCCATTTCCCCCCATACTAGACATTCAAAAGAAATTTATAAATGAAGAAAAGAAAGAAAAAAAAGGAAGATGGGGAGAGAGAGAGGGAGGCTGGCTGTCTAACGTTTAGGTGCTGGGCATTATAAAACCAAGCTTTAACTTAAAAAAGCCTATAATCACCTACCAAATTCAGACGCAACCTAGCATGCCCTTGGCGCTCTGGCAGTGGGAAGGAAGTTGAGCTGGGAGAAGCGTCGCCTGTCAGTGCTGGCGTGCCTGTGCTGGAGCCACAGGCTGGGACTTGGTCCATCCTGGGCCATATTTCTCTGGGATCTTTTGTTCTTCGCTCTGTTATGGGCTAAATCATGTCCTCCCCCACATGAAGATCTGCCCGAGTGCCAACCTCCAACATCAATGCATGTGCTGTTATTTGGAGATCGAGTCTTTGCAGAATGAACTAATTTAAGATGAAGTCATTAGGGTCCTTCTAGAAGGGGGAAACTTGGATGGGCATGCCTGGAAGCAGATGGCACAAAGAGACACAGAGAGAAAGCCACAGGAAGACAGAGGACGGAGGGGTGCATCTGCCGGCCGGAGAACACCTGCCATTGCCACAGACCGGGAGAGGGACGCACAGTTCCCTGCGCCTTCGGAGGCAGCCAGTGCAGCCCACACCTCCATCTCGGACCTCAGGTTCCCAGAGCTGTGTAACAACAAATGTCTGCTGTTTAAGCCACGGGGTCTGTGGTGCTTTGCTGGGGCAGCCCCAGGGGACTAAGCATACGCCACGACATTAGTCCCAGCTTGAAGACCATGCGTGCTGAGGAGGCATCAAGCCCGCCTGGGTCTCCAGCTTCAAACAGGAAGGTAGGAAGGGCAGCTGCAATGCCCCCGCTTCCCGAGGAGTGTGGCGGCAATGACAGGTTCTGAGACAATTGTCTGGAGGAGCCTCAAGAGGCAGCTCTGCACCCAGAACCTCCCTCGGCAAACTGTGCAGGCAACGCGGGAGGCGGAGAGGAATGCCCCAGCCCCGGCCTGAATGCACAGCTCCCGCGGGTGTAGGCGAAGCCTGCTGAGGCCTGAGCAAGGGCCCAGGGGGCAGAGCGTGGGAGGCAGAGACTCCTGACGACCTCAGGGGACTCTCATCATCAGGGTGTTGTATGTTAGGTAGGAGAAAGATGCAAAGCACTTCAGAAGTATTTCCACTGAAAATGGTTCAATACACGAGTCCACTATTTGAA